TGTCGTCGCCACAGAGCGGCCCCCTTGTTCCCCTTCCTAATTGTTCCTCGAGAACCCCCGCTCTGGGTGCGTACCATGCGCTGTGCCCCGCTCGAGCGCAGCGGGGCCCCTCGATATTTTGTAACCTTTTTTTTATTTTGAGAAGAAGCGTCGGTACTGCTCTTGCACCCCGACGAGGTTTTTTTCCTGGAAGCGGTGTCCGGCTGACGGTCGACAGTTAGGGCGAAGGTTTTTGGGAGTTTTCGGGGGTATGTGTACATGTACTTTCTTAATTGGATTTTGTATTATATATGTTTGTTTTGAACCACGGTGGCTCCCATTGGTCTAAAAAGAGAGATATCTGATTGGCTCCTTGGGTGGTGGGAAAACTCTTAACAAAGTGAATATAGGCGCCTAGAGGCGCGGGATTTGCGGTTCAAGGTTCGAGTACGGAAGTTGTCATCGGCAGTTTGAGAACCGCGCGAGATAGGGGCGCGAGTGGTTGACCTGCTGCCTCAGGACGAGAGCCAAGTGCAATATGTGAGTGTACAAACCATTTTCCATCGTTCCTTTGTTGCGTCGTGTGACTTCGTTGACTTTCTTTTGTGAACGGACTTCGAAAACCTTAAAAATCGACCCCAACGAACAAATCACGTGAGATTTTTATTGGTTCGATCAGGTTAAGATGGGAAGTAATTTATGGTGAAGCAGCTTTCCAGTGTTTATCGTCAATCCATCAAAGTGTTCCGCGTTCCTACTCATGCATCATTGCTTTATCAGCCCCGATGACTGGCGGCTTCGTGCATTGGAGTCGTGCTTTATATAATATTTGTTTTTATGATTCTTTTTTTCTGCTAACTCTGGTGCCTTCTGTTGACGTGACTTGTAAATAAAAAAAGTAAAGTGCAAATGCCTCCCTGGTGAGGAATTTCCGGGGCACCATTTTTATGTATCATAATCATCTCAAAACCAATATGACAACTTTAATTTAATTATTTAATAGAACAATGCATAGTTCTTAAAAAAATCAAGATGCTTTTATTTCCTCTTGGACTTTCTTTTCTCTTTTTATCTTGTCCCTCTTTACCCCCTTTACCCCTTTATCCCCTTTACTCCCTTTACCCCCTTATCTCGTCCCCCGTTGGTCCGGCCCCCTCCGAAATGAAATCCTGCGTACGCCACTGGCTGCACCTAATGCTTTTATAACCTTTGAGACCGAATTATGGAAGAGAAACATTTGCTTCTAATACAAAAAACTTGCCGTTTTGCGGGGCATTGCTTTTAATTCTTTGCAAGTGCTCAAGTTGTTTTGAAAAAGATGTTGCTTTAATGCCCTCTTGCAATACACTTTTTCTGGGCACTTTTTTCTTTTCAGTTTTTAAGAAGGCAATTTGCTTTTAGGCACAAGTTTATTTGTAGAGTCACATGCAGAACATAAGCAGAAAGGCCCTTGGTTACATATGCAGTGATAGTACCTACATTTGACCTTTCGTAGCAGGCTGTGTAGCAGGCAAAATATTGGTTTGAAGCAGCCGCTGATGCTTTCGGAGCAGATGCCAACATCTATTAGCACATCACTTGAAAGTGAAAAAGTGATTGCATCTCTAAATGAGTTTATCTATGATAATGATAGACAGTTCCTCTATGATACTAGAGCATACTCATTACTTTTTGTGAAAAACAAAGATAGAATGAAAAAGGAGCACAGAGCCTTCTTTTTTAGAAATAAGGCTCTTCTCAGAGTAAGTCCTATTTACAATGCGTACTAAAAAATGGTTGAAAAATCAATCATAGTGTAACCCTTCAGTTGGGAAAAAACCTCTCTCCCCTCCCTGTTTTACATTCAGTAGTTTATTTAGCCTGTAAATATAATTTCAGTAAAATGCCACCAAGAACCAGCACATCCGCTACACGTCTTATCAATAAAAAAAAGCATCCCCGAAGTTCAATGAACCTGCCAAACTCAAGACTCTAATACCATAAACTACAAAAACAACCACCCAGTAATGTTATAAAAGCCTACACTTGTGCTTTACAAGTGAGACTGCTCTTTAGCGGCATTGAAACCAGAGTTAAGTAAAAGTTCACTGCGCTTTCAATTGACAGCTGCAAGGGAACTACAGTGACTACAGTATTTGTTCAAATATAGACCCGTTTTTTTGTTTTTTTTTCTCTCTCTCTCTCCTTTTTTTGACTTTTTTTAGAGATTTTCTATCAAGAAGGTTGACCTGTAATAATCTTGAGCAGAAATTCCGTGCCTAGCACACTAACCCAGGAGCTCCCCCAGGTCAGCCGCTGCTCCTAGCACTCCGGTGCAAAGCGGCGAAGCTCGACATGTGCATCCTGGTGAGAAGAGGTGAAGGCTGACGCAGGCAGTGCAAGTGCCAAAGTACTCTGCAGCCACAGCACAAAGGTATGTGGCAGATGTGAGAATCAAGTGATCTCATCAGGAGTACAAGACCCGGGTTCTGTTTTATCACAGTAGCTACCATCCTACTATTTTGCAAAGCTTTCTAGCGACTTTTAGTTCCTGACATCGCAGACATCGTCTGGAAATTTAGACGATGGCGGTCAACCGGCCAGCGCATCAACCGGCCAGAGCGATTGACGAGCAGTTTTTACACTTTGTTTCACCTGAAGTCAATGCTTCAGCCGACTCTTTGAGCCAATGGAAATGTGAAGTAAAAAAAAAACCATCTCCAAAAGCCGATTTGGAAGTTACCTACTACGCGATCCCACCAGTGCAGTGACGTCAAAGATTGAGTCGTCCTGCAACTGGAGTTTCTTTTACGCCTCCGAACCTTCCCGACCCGAAGTCGCCAAAGTGTCATGTTTGCTCGCGTCCCGTTATCAACCACTCTTCTTCATGCATGCCGCCCATCGCTGTGAGCAGACGACGCTTCACTTTCGAGTTTGAAGTTCTTTTAAGGCCCTTTCAGCAATCTCAAATTCTTAGAAACGGCGTGAGGTCGAAGAGGAGACTCGGTGGACTTTTGTGAGCGACGTGAGGGGCCACATCGCGCCGGTTCTGCATGAAAGGCTGCCCCGACAGAGTCACAACTGAAACTATGGCACAGACACCAAACCCAGTTATTTTGACCGTTTGACGATTTCCTTTTCAAAGTTTGAGAGGTCGTCGGGCACCTAAAAAAGAAACATCGTCTAATTCCCCGACCATCCTCCGTGCTACATGTGCCTAGTGACTTTAAGTCACAAATAAAAAAAGTGAGGAAGTGGGAGGAGAAAGAGAAGGGTGCCAAAAATAAAAAGGAGTGTGCGCATGTGGTAAAATATTTTTTCGCGTTGAGGTATTATTTTTGCGCGTCTATGACTACAAGTTGTATCATTTTAGACAACAACAGAAAATACAACCTTTGGGGTGTCAGTGCCCTTTTAAGCCTATCTTGGCACAGGTGTGGCACAATTCTGAGCGAAAATGGCATTTCGGCACGAGATTTAGGAGACTTTCGTTCATGGTGCACATTGGCAGAAATCATGCAGCATTTCCATCACTGCATGCTCATTTTAGTTTGAGTTAGCAGTTGATGCCATTGCATCTTAATTTTTCATGATTTTCAGCATCATTCTGCCCAAACAATTGCCACTGGAGAATAAGGAATGCCGACCTCAAGTAGGTCAACTGCCTGAAAAGGCGTCTCGCCTGGTTTATGGGGGGAGGGGGGGGAGAGAGAGGAAGGGGGGGTGGCCCAAGGCTTGGGCAAACATACCTCAGTGCACCATGTGCTAGCCCTAAGCGGCTTAGTAAAAAAGATGTGTTATCAACGAAACGTTGCAGGAGCATGTGTTCACAAAACAAGTTTCCATGAAATGTACGGTGTTGATGAAACGTGCGTTCAAGGAAAGCATGTCCCCAAAATGATAGGGACACCCCTAGGACCAATGGAGTTGGACGGCTGCATCAAAACTTGTTTTGGGGCTGAAGAAATTATTTTTCTCCATCTACTTCCTTCTCTTTTGCCCCTGTTTGGAACGCAATGGACATTAGATATGGCCATTCATGGCATATGCCTCCTTTCTGCTAGTGTCAAGAAAGAATAAGATTTCTGAAAGGAGCAGAAGGGCACCAGTCAACAAACTCGCTTCAGTCTCTGCCTGAGACTAAGACAACAGCGAGTTCCCCTATGTCACTGACCGGATGAAAATGACAGGAAGAAGTTTCAGTCATCCCGCCTCCAGCACAAGCTCCCTGCCTTCGACAATGCTGCAGCCTCTTGTGACCCTCGAGTGTGCACGCGCAGCTGAAGCACGGCCAAAGGCAACACCCTGCCATTCTTACCATGCCAGTGGCAGTGACTATAATCCAAACACCTACGTTAGGGGGAGGGAACTGCTGATCCAGGTAAACTATCTTGTCCCTCACATGATATAGAAGGCCTTCTCCAAGAACAAGCCAGGTACGAGCAATAATGGTGACTTAAGAAAACAGGGAACCGAACGCTGCCTCTGGAAATCGTATGCCGTCCAATGGGCAAATTTTCCTGCTTCTATGTGACGCAAACTCACCACACTGAACCACTCATGATGCCTGCAGTTCAGCAAGGACTGTAGAAACGCCGTGGCATACATTATATATTAGATATGTGTCAGTCTGCTGAGCTCATTCTCGTTGCAGAGGATAATGTGATGATTTGGTTGACACAATAAGCGCATTCGCTCTAGCTGTCATCATGTGCCGATGCATAATGTGCTGCTATAATCTGCTGCAGGTTAAGAATAGCAAGACATGCCCCTCCCACAAATCCCTCTACTGCACCAATCATGGAGAGCAAAATCTTTATGGGAGGGGCCTGTCCAGTTTCTTCTACCTGCAGCTGACTATAGCTATGATGCAGCGCAGTGTACCTCCAGCGCGAGCTTCAAGATACGCTGCACTTGCAGACCCATTTCTGGCAATGCCTTCTCAGCACTGAAGTGGTGCTTGCAGGTTGGAGAGCTACGTTATTCAAAATTTGTGCACGCCCTGGCGATCCAGGCGTGGCGCAGTATGAGAGGGTACCCACCTCTTGACGTTGAGCTCGGCCGAGTCATTGGGGGCCATCTGCCAGAGGTCCTCCTGGTGGATGCCCTGGCGGTAGGCCTTCCACATGAGCTTCGACAGCCACACCAGCGAGATGAAGGAGAAAAGACCCGCTTGGTTTGTTGGCATCTCGTGCTTGTCCCTGTGACCCCCGGGAAAAATGACTGCTCACACGGATGTCCTTTTAGCCCTACCTAGAGCCCGTAAATTGGCTACTATCGCGATACAGCTGTTGATAACTAGCAAATGGTGGCCGTTCCGTACTTCCAGCGCCACGTGCCCTCTGAGAGGAATCAAACATTGCAATTCCTCTCGAAAATAGACCGTTCTTCCAGTTTGCATTCACACCATCACTTTGTTGTCTGCTAGGCACGAAGCAGACAATGCCACAGCGCTTGTCGATGTTTTAGTCAGATGCGTTCAGAGGTGGTACACTCAGGCCGTGTTCCAAAATTTACTCTATCTTACTCCAAAGTAAGGGTTTTGTACCTTGGTGTTCTAAAACCAGCATCCAGCGTTTTCAATATGTCTTGTCACGTGACACGACCTGCCGGAGTAACTCGGATCCATCTGGGTAAGATTTCGAACACAGCCTCACAGTACCAGCACACCATTCTCCAAATGTCCTCTGGGTGCTGCCATCTTGGCGCTTAATGCAGAGCAGGAAAAAGAGTTGATCGTTACGATTAGTAAATGTGACTTCCTGAGCTTCAGATACCGTGTCAGGAAGCTCAGGCGATATTGTATTGATCTGTCGTGGACTGTTTTAAACATTTCTGGATGAGGGAAGACCGTTCCCTGCTATTTCAGATAAAGTGTCACAAAACTGGCAAAAGTGATTGTAAGCACCAAAGGGGACGAAGTGCCGTTACTCTGAAGCATAGTTTATTCTGTGGCTCCAGCCCAGCCACATGCACACCATAGGCCCTCTTCAAGCCATGTTAGTCTAGCCCTCTATTAAGGGGAAATGCCAGTAAAAAAATGGCAATATTTTGCAAAAAATTTGATTTTGGGTTTTTGTTTTGTTTCATTATCTTCAAATCTTCATATTTAGTGTATAAAAAAGATAAGTGCTGGTTACATTTACAAATTTAGTCAAATGTGCATTTGAAGACCTCCCGGCAACCCAGAAAGGCATAAATATGAGCTATTTTTCTATGGGCAGTCCTTGGAATTGTGATGTCGCCTGCGACCATCCCATTTACGTTGAGATGCAGGCCCTAGCCATCCCCGCTCCATCGCAGTCTTCCGTACCTTCAATTTTTCACGAACAATTATTGTCGAGATATTTTTTTTCTTACCACAAGAGTGTCGCTACACATCTATGATAACATTTGAAGGCATATTTCTCTCTATGTAATTTTAGAGCATCTTTACTGTTTGCATAAAAGAACTTTTGTTCTTAATATTTTCTTATCACAGCCAAATTTAGCATGCATATACCTTAGAATGTAAGAATGCAATCATTAAGATTTGGTTAGAATATATATTTCTTATATTTATAAAAAAAAGAAAGAAGCAACTTTTGTTAGTTCTTCAAAAATGGTGGTTTTGAGATTTTCAATTATTTTAAAGTAGGCCTCCTGCTTTGCCCAAGAGGTGCTGCAGAAAAACCGGCTGGCAGCACCCTCTACGATTTGTTTATCGGTATTGTGTGGTAGAAACCTATGCATTTGAATTTGTTCCACAGGAAAATGTTAGCCAGCGGTATGAATTCACCCCTCGCGATTGTTTTACGGAACAAAATCGAACCAATTTCTAACGTGGAGAGCTGCTTTCGTTCCTCAACACTTTGCAAAGGGAATGAACTCAGCGATGCAAGCTACATCTACGTTGCACAAGGAGCCGCAAATTTGGTGTCGGCGTGCTGTCACTCGTAAAAATAGCGAGCTTCTAATAATGCCGATTTTGAGCGAGAATTAGGAGATATGTGAACGCGCCTTGTAAGCAAAGTCTCCCAAACTGCAGTCCCTCCGTACAGCCAACACTATCAGCTGATGACCCAAAAATGTGCGCGAGTAGACGCAAGCAATCGAGCGTCGACCAGCCGTCACATCTGCACTGTAAGCATCACGCAACATATATGATCAGCAGTAGGAGCTCCGCCTTGAGCACATTACATGCTTTTTGCTTTTTGTGGTGCGTTGGTGCGTGGTGCGTTGGTGCGTTGGACAGTATGTTCCTGTTCGTAAAATTCGCATGACAGATGTTTCGATGCATGCCACGGCTGCTTGATCGAGTGGCCGTGCCTTAGCAGAACTTGGAGGACGAGAAAAACAAGTCTCGTGTAATATTCTCAGTGGGCCCAAGAACGCTTGCCAAGGATCAAAGATTGTGTCAAGCTTTTCTTGTTTACTGCAACTTGTAGTAAGTTACTTGAGCAGTTACAAAAAAGAAAGCTCGTCAAGGATAAAAGACAGACACGACTAGTCCTGTCTGAATCTAAGCGTGATCTGTGTCATCACGCGGTACCTCGCAAGCACGCCAGAACGTGCTGCACAACGGCGCCGGCTTTTGGCGCCGCTTCGAGTTCACGAGCTGCAAACCTGCAACCACTATATCTCGCTTACTTGGTGCGCTGGGCAGCTAGTATCGTTCCCTCTGCTCAACTTTACACAGGTTAATAATACCTTCCCGTTCTTGACGACGCAACAGTACAGTCGACGGCGACGTTTCGAACAAATCGAGGCCGTGCTGGTGGCTCCCGTTTCGACATGCTTGGACGAAGGAAACATTACTAGCTTGCGGCAAGCTTGGGTTCCAGGGTAATGTTGTGCAGTGACGATTATGGGTGACATATTTTGAGTCGTAACCACGCGAACACATAAATAACAGCAGCTTGCGGAGATAAACCACTACCCGAACAGGTTTGTTATTGCGCGGGGCCGCGGGACTTGTACTACTCAAACACTCTATCGCCCGCCACCGGAAGGCGCCACGATACGTTCAAAGCTTCGGCGCAGGAGGCCTATACAGTGTCTCACCCATGTTGTTGTTCACTGCACTCAGAGGTTTACAAGGAGCAGATGTGCCCATTTTACTAGGCTCTTTAAAGTGTGTTCCCATGCCCTAAATGAATGCAAGAAAACATGTTGTTTTTTTTGGTTTTTTTTAGGCATGTGCATTACATTTTGTACATAAAAGACAATCTATATCAAAACTAATGCCAGATTTATAAAAAGGAAATCAAACACTATAAACTGTGAAAATTTCATTCAGTTACCGCACATAATTAAAAAACGTTTGAGGTGCATGTCCTTCAAGTATTGACTTTTAAACCAGTAGCTCAATATTGATGAAATTTCAAGGGTCTATTCATCTCGTTGCCTAAATGCACTCTATGAAATTTCATCTCTGTAGGACTACATTCCGATAAGCTACAGGGGGAGGTACACAGCTATTGATGTAAGTCGCCTCACTTGGCAAGGCAATCTATTGCATAAAATTGTTGGAAAATATTAAGCATTTCTAAACTTCAGCCTTAACTAGAACTTATGGTGGGGGGGACTCTTTTTTTTACCTAAAAATTCGTGTTTTTTCTATGCAAAGTGTCAATGTAAAAAGCATTCCACATAATGGGGCATTTTCTCATTAAAATTCTACTTTTTGGCAATAAGAACCTTATTTAAATAGAAAAATAAATACCTAACCCCCTTCCTCATTAAATTTCAGTTCAGAAACACCCACAGCAAAGAATACATTCAGCGGTTCATTGAAATGATAGATTTCCTAAAGCGAAAGTTGCTGCAAAAAAGTGAAACTGAAAAAAACCTGTTTAAAGTTTCCACACCATTACATTTGCTTTTACTGGTGGTGGTGGCAACTAAAAGGCACCAAGAGCGTAGATGGAGCCTTCTGCTTAAACCCAATCTCCAGCATGGCTTTGCTGAGTGAATCCAAGCTTAAAACGCTTTCTTTGAGTGTCATTTTGTTGTCAGCATCTGGACATTGATTGTGAAATGAGTGAGGAATTGGGTATGCTTGCAATACACGAACTATCATCAGCAAGTATGGACGAGGTAATCATCATCAAAATGCAAAGCAGACAAACCCACATGACGTTCTATAAATGAATGCTGGTTTTAGTCGGTTTTGTGTTCAATCAGGACGGGCTTTTCGATTCTTGGCCATATGCATAGCCTCTTTTACGTGAAAGCTGGACTTCTACTGTGCTCTTGCCCGAATAGAATTTACTCTCGAGCAAAGATATTTAATGTACTGAAACTGTGAACAAATGCTCTTTCCAACGAGAGTATGATCATCATTCTAGGGCATACCGGTGCAAAGCCACAGCAGTTTGAAAATAGGAAACAGAACGTTCACATTTCAAAAACACATGATTTTGCATCGTTGGCTGACCGAAAATGTTTTTTTTTCTCTGTAAATACTTCAGATATTGCAATAGAAATTCGCAGGAGTATACATTACTAGTTGTGAAACCACAATACACAAAAAAAAGGAAAACTTGTTCTTTTCTCAAAAATTGCAATTTTAAGGTGGTGTCCCCCCTTAAAGCAGTATGGAATAACTGCTATGCTATGTAAGGAGTATAAAACAATAAGGCAGCCAGAGGAGACATAAGTCTGGCAAAAGGACAAGCACATGCCACCTTTGATACGTGAGACTGAGGGAGACCAACTGTGATGATTGGAAAACCATCCACCTTTGTGAACCCCAAGCGCTTCTAAGCATGGTCGCCACGCATGTGCAGCCTGGAAAAGTGTGCAGCTGCTCTTCCCGTCAACAAGGGTGTTACAAGTGCAAATATGTAGAATTATTACTTCCATATAGTGTGTGGCAACCCTACTCGTTGTCACCTCGAGAAAAAAGAAAAAGAAGCAAGTTTTGCACGTAGTTCATACATTGTGCAAGGTTACTTCTTAAAAGAGTGGAGTTTCCCAGGAAACAAAAAAAGGATACTTGAAGAAAAACCTTGAGCAAGTGCCCATTCAAAATTTGAAGATAATCATGTAAAAACTGGCACTCCTTTGGTCAATAATATGTGAACATGTGTCCTTTGTATATTTTCCGAATGCTACAAAATTGAGGGTGGGTGTTTATTGTGGAATGGATGGATGCTCGGTATTTTATGTTATGTTTCAAACATGTATGGTTTGATAAGATAACGAGTGAATGCATGTA